ATATTTTATATTATATTGAATAATATTTTACTTTTAATTATAAGATTTTAAACCTCGCGCGCGTCATCATATGTGACCATGCAACACTGGTCTGCTGGTTAGATATAGATAGATAGAGTGAGTTGATAGATAGAGTGAGATAACACATAAAGTCAAAAGCCGTCTATTATCGAAAAAACGAGAAGTACATTTTTTGGTCGGCGACGTTGAAGACAACGACGACGTATCTTAAAAATAAAACGTGAAAATTCACAGATCCGGATTTTGCGTCGCGATATCTCCGCTCGTAGGGCACGTAGACAAAAAATGATAGCACTTTTATTATACAATTTAAGTTTTTCCTGTCGATTGAGCATATGTAGAATTTGATCGGTTCAGCCGTTACTGAGATCTGATCATCTCGACCCCGAAAAATTCTCTGTTTCGTATAAAGGAGGCACGGCAGTGTCGCGCGCTTGGCTTAGCGCCGAGACACTACCGTGTCTCCAGATTTAATACTTTGCTTTATAATGAAGTATCTTACAAAGAAAGAAATGTTTTACCTCGCATAATCGGTGATTTGACGTTACTTTCTATTATCTTCCCTTCCAACAGCAATGCGCCACTTTTCTCTTAATATGGGATCTTTAGGAAATCTGAGTAACAAAAATCCTTTTTTGTAACTGTTGTTACAACAATAAGCTGCACAGTACGGCATGATTACTATTTCTGCAAGGATGAGATATATTGAGGGTAAATATCTAGAAAAGGGGAGCCCTCCCCGATGATCTTGACCTTGACATATGTTGTCAAGGTCATGACCCTGAGTAACCTCCCGCAGGTTTTAGGTGGCGGTCACTGTCCGTTAAAAAATTATTAACAAAAAAAGTTTCAAAATTAACGTATCATTTCTCAGAAATTATACATATTAACGTATCATTTCTGCCATATATGTATTATAACAAGTACTATTTTACATCTCCTTCCGTTTAGAAACGTTAAACTTTCCACGCAAAGTAATTCTCACCTCCCCCAACCCCCTGCGAAGGGGCACACGACTTCTACGATTGTACTGTTGCTATGATTGTACTGTCGGGGCAGACCTCTATCGACGGTGTGGGTGCGGGGGGGTGGCCAAAGGCCACCTCCTTGCACCCGCCCGTGAGTGCGTGCGTGCGAAATATCAAGTAATTGACTCATAATCGTTATATAACAAATGGAACACACACACACACACGCACACACACGCACACACACACACGGGCGGGTGCAAGGGGGAGGCCACCCCCCCCCCCCCCGCACCGTCGACAGAGGTCTGCCCCGACAATACAATCATAGCATCAGTACAATCGTAGAAGTCGTGTGTCCCTTCGCAGGGGGTTGGAGGAGGTGAGAGTTACTTCGCGTGGAAAGTTTAACGTTTCTAAACGGAAGGAGATAAAAAATAGTACTTGTTATAATACATATATGGCAGAAATGATACGTTAATTTTGAAACTTTTTTTATTAATAACTTTTTAACGGACAGCGACCGCCACCTAAAACCTGCGGGAGGTCACTCAGGGTCATGACCTTGACAACATATGTCAAGATCAAGATCATCGTGGGGGGGGGGGCTCCCCTTTTCTAGATATTTACCAACATTTTTTCCCCGGGTCCTTTTTAATTTTTATAATACATTGTTGTACCAAAAATGTAAAGCAAAAATTAATATTGACACTACTTTAAGGTTTAAACGATTAAATATAACACGGAAATACTTACCAAAGGAAGAGAAATTAAATTTAACACTACGATTAAATCATGACAGCTGATGATAGCTGACCTAGCTAACCTTTCCTGAAGACTACATATACACATATATAAATAGCACCAAGCCAATCAGCGCGCGATTCGAGTCATGTGTCATGTTGGCGACTCTTTTATTACAGGCTCTCTACACTGATCCGGACAGGTTGATGGGTCGAGGTGGCCCAATCATTTGGCCGGCGCGGTCGCCAGATCTTAACTCGACTATTTCGTTTGAGGTTACGTCAAAGATTTAGTCAAGTATATTCGTGATGGTACTGAAGCTAAGGCATGAGAAGCAATTCTCGCAGCTTTTAATACTATTAGGTACGTCAGAAATGGTGCATCGCGCGACGCGCAATATTACTTGAAGAGCCGAAATCTGTTTACGAGAACGAGGAAGGCACTTCGAATAATTCTTGCATTAAATGCAAAAGTGGATTAGACTTACAGGGGATATCACTTAAAAAAAATGCGCCATACTATCTACCGCAAGGTGGTGTGGAAATGATAGCATTTTATCAGTTCCTTGCCACAAAAATGTTAAAAAATTATTTCTCGACTTAAGAATCGTATGATACGCTGTTTATTGTTTGTGTATACGCAGGTACATGCAGGAAAATATCATTCTCTAGTGCTAAGAGAAGAGACGTAGTTTTCATTTTTCTTTTATTGAGTAACGATTATCTTTATAAAAATTATCTTGATATAATATGTATAATTTTAAAACACGTATTATTTAAATAATTTCCAATAATCTTTAGTTAATGTAGAATTAAATCGAGGCCGTAACGTGATTAGGTCTGAATATAACAAAAAAATCAGGCGAGTGTGTGCACAAACTTTGCTGATGTTCTTTCTTTAATACTTGAGAAATAAGAAGCGACAATATTGAGACGGTTCTACATGTATAGCGCACCGAACAAAAGAAAGTCTAACGAACAATATATATATTTGAATATAACAATGAAAAAGTAAAAGTAATTATCAGCTGACGGTTATCTCGATTATCGTCGAAGATCGAGAATCGAGATGACGCATGGCATTTGACAAATGGCAGTGCGAGGTGACCGGGAGATTTAACTCTCTATTCCAACACGCCCTCTCAAATCGCACTCTAAATATCATTGAGATTTACAGCTTGCAGTCCCAGTTCTTCCAGACATCTTTC